GGCCCCGTCGTGGCTGCGGCTGCGGCGCGGTCGGGGCGTCGAGGAGCCGCTGGCGTCGCCCAGGGGCTGCTGCGCGGGCGGGCGGGGAGCAGAGGAAGCGGCAGAGAGGTGTGCGGGGGGAAGTGGGGTGACGGATGTATAGGTGCACCACAGGCATTCGTGAGCTCAAGTTCGTGACGTCAGATGCTGTGACAGGGCATCACGGAGCAGAGCATGACGTGCAGGGAGTGATGGGAACAGAGTCGGCAGGAAGCCAGGCGGGAGTGGGGCAGTGCTGGGAGGGGCAAACAAACAGAGCCCATAGGAGCGAAGGGGTCGCTAGAGCTAATTGGCACCCTGCGGTAAGAAACTGTCGTCCCTGCTTAAACCATACTTGATGCAGCCGGGTGGGTAGATCGCATCTTGTTCTGCAAATTTTGTGACAGAAAGCTTCAGCCTCTGTGGACGCTGCATCACTGACCTCAGGATTGCTGTTCCAGGGGAGCAAAACTTTAAAAACTAGTTGACACAGGAAATTGTGGAACAAATATCATCCACAAACTGGACTGCATTAAGTGTGGTTTAAATGGGGTCTGTGAGTTTTTATGTCATTGCCTGGATTAAATAGCAGCCTTGAAGTACCTGAAGGGCAGTTCCAGAGAGGATGGAGCTGGACTGTTCCCAGTGGTGGCAGGTGACAGAACAAGGAGCAGTGCGCTCAAGTTACAGCATTGGAGGTTTAAGTTGGATATTGGGGAAAAATGTTCCTCACTAGGAGGGTGGTGAAGCACTGGAACAAGTTACCCAGAGACGTTGTGGATTCTCCATCCTTGGAGGTTTTTAAGACCCAGCTAGACAAAGCCTTCGCTGGAATGATCTAGTTGGGGATGGTCCTGCTCTGAGCAGGGGTGAGGTCCCTTCCAGCCCTAATTTTCTATGATTCTGTTAGCTTTTGAGACTGCTTTGTTCCTGTGGATTCTTTGCTTGTTTGCCTCTCCCAGAAGTGCCCCTGCCCCCTCCCTCCTGCATTCCTACCTGTTGTATTTTAATCACTTATTCCACTTTTTACACTGCTCTATGCTGTCTTTTCACAGCATCTGAGGAAGTAAACTGGGGTTCACAGAAGCTTCTGCTCTACACATATAACACTTAGTCTATAGAGGTGCATATCAACGCTGTCTTTTTACTCTCAGTTGCAAGTGAACTTTTGGTTTGTATACTGACATGTAGGGAAACAGGGTCCCTGGTTTCACAATGTGTATATATAGAGAGAAAGGAAAATGTTTCTTGAATTTGAAACCATCTTATTATTCATATTGCTATTTCATTATATTAGACTATTTTTATGGCAAATTTATTTTAAATTCTATAATTTATTAAATTCCCTTACTCAAAATTTAGAACAAAATTGCTGCTCCAGAGAGCTGTAGAGCAGTTTTGTCAAAGCTTGTAGTAAACTTCCTATTATTTTTTTCTTTCAGGTTTTTGAAAAGTTAACTGTTTTAAGAAGAGGCCTTACACTGTCATTGGGGACCTTTGTGGGTTATGAAGCTTATAATTTGATTTCTTGTGTTACTGAAGTGCACGCAAGTTTCAAAGGTAGCTTAAAAAATTCAACTATATATAGGGTCAGTCAAATGTGAAACTTGATGAATAGTGATTCGCATTTTGGGGAAAGCTTTCCAATTTCTCTTCTATATGCTGTTTTTTAATATCAGATTTTTCCCTGATGGCTACTTTAAACTCTGAAGTAAATGAAAAATATGGTATTTGTTCATCTGTTCTTAGAGAGATCATCAGAAGTACATCAAAATTGTGCTCCCTTTATAATAAACTAGTGACATACAATTCTGTATATTCTTTTTTTAAGGCAGGATATTCAATTTAGGATTCAGAATCAAGAGTTACTACTTTTTCATTAAAGGTCATCAAATTCCAATTCATTTGCGATTAAGAATGGAGTTATATTGGTGCTATCAGAATTCTACATCATGGTTTATACTGGCAGTACTGGGTTCAGGTTTTTAAGCTAGAAACAGCAATAGTACCTTGAGCAGATATTCATTTTAGTGCTGGAGCCTTTAGAAATAAAGAAAATACTAAATGAAAAAGGAGATTTCAGATCAAATTATTCCTTAGACACCTTATTCTGATAAAATAACTCTCATCAAAATTGTCAGTACAGTAAATGCTGTTTGTAGGACTGTGCAACTTCTTTAGAAATGTTTATAAATCTTTTTTTCAGATGTCTGTGAGTATTTGGCTTGTTGCAAAATAAAGAATATAGACAGGCCACATTGGATCCCTTTGCAGAAGCCTACTGAACTTTGGGCCTCTCTCAACATCGAGAAAACTGAAGTGCTCTATCAGCCTGCTCTAGACTGAGAATATGACACCCCCCACCTGAAATTATCATCAAGGAAAAGACCCTGGAGGTAGTCGAGCACTTCCCTTACTTTGGTAGCTGCCTATCATGGAAAGCAAACCACTGATGAGGAGATCCAGCACAGGATTCAGTACGCAAAGCACTTCCTTTGGGAAATTGCTTAGGCATATTTTAATTGATCACAGTTTCTGGAAAGGCACCAAGAAGATCCAGGTCTACAACACAGTCTTTATCCCCACTCTCCCCAGCGGATGTGAAACATGAATGAAGTGTCACTGTCATCTCAAGAACTTGGGAGTGGTATTGCCAATGGTGCCTCCAGAAAATCCTTCATATTAAATGGGAAGAACACCACACACATATCAGCATCCTTGCTGAAGCCAATGTTACCAGTATTGAGTCACTGACCCTCAAGCACCAACTTTGCTAGACCAGACGTGTGAGGATGCCTGAGTCGACTCCCAAAACAAGTGCTCTACTCCCTGGTTAGTCGCAACCTGAGATCTTGCAGCAGCCAGAGGAACTTCATGTGATCTTAGCCTATAAAACATGGATCGACTTAGTATCAACCGCCAACACTGAAGAGAAAATCTGGATACCCATCTCTACTGGATGGATTTACTTACACTCCCATATTTGGTTAATATACAAATGTTTCCAACAATTGAATTCAGCTTGTACATTGCATTGTTTTTACAACCAACTCTTAATCTGTCATGGGATGATAAATAAAAACGACCAGAACAAGATCAGTATATATGAGCTGAGTATGTTTAGCATTCTATAGAAAAAATGAGCATCATGCTAGCAGACTTCCAGAGCTATTTCTGGGGTTTTAGATAACAGATTTTTGTAGCTGTTTCTGGAGCTTTAGACTGCTCTGTCTGTCATACAAGGGAAAATTGAGAACCATTGCAGAAAAGTTAAATGACAGAAAACAAAGATGAAGCTAAAGGAAACATTTTCCCTGAATCCAAGTCCTCATGCAGGTTTCAGTGGCTTCATTTGAACAAAATTTTGAAAGTTGTAAGCTTAACTGAGGTAAATTAACTAAATTAGATCAATACATAAATAGCCAGTTAATAAAATTAGCTTTAGTGTAGGGCTTTGTGGCTTCATGTGACTTTACATGCAACGTGGTACGACTTTGATTAGCCGAACTAAGTGCTTTCCAAGCTGCTATTCTGAGGTCATCAGATGAGCATTCTAAAATCTACTGATACGTCCAAGTACGTCTGTTACTAAAGCTATTTTATTGTTCCGTAGCTCTTGGTACTTTTAATATGGTATCTGCTGCTGTGTAGGTGTTGCAGTACTGTATTACATGGCTGCTAAAGGTTAGCATAGAGGCACCCAATTTAAAATTGGAAACTTCTGATGTCTAGTATATTGATGTTTATTAAGAAGTATGTGTTTAGTTCTTTCTCTAGGATCCATGGTTTCTGCTAATTTTTTTTTGTGTAACAGGATGCTTTTGTTTGGGTGTTAATTGTATTGGGTCACTCTTATATGAGCTGCCAAGTGCCTGGTAGGCTATCATATTTATGAACCCTTTTTTCTTCTGTTTCCATCATCCCCACCCTCTTTTTTTAAAGCTGAAGAAATCTTAGACCAAGCAGACTACCTGTATGGGAGTGGGGAAACTGAAAAGCTCTATCAGTTGCTGGTCCAACACAAAAACAGGTACTTAAGTGTGTTGAATAACCTCAAATTATTGTGGCTTAATTGATAGTGCTCTTTTGTCAGTTCATTTTAAATAATGTGTTAATTGTGGTGGGGTTGTATTCTGGCTTACTTTCTTGCAGTGGGGGGGAAAATCGGTAATTTTTCTTCTCAGCAATAACAATGTGGAGGGAAGGAACAATCTAATTCTTAACCAGGCTCAGTTGGACCAGCCAAGGGTTAGGTTTCTGATAATTGTTTCCTAACAGCGGGGAGAGAATGCTTAGCATTCAGTAATGGAAGGCAGAGGAATAAGAGAGGGGCCCAGGATTTAATTATTATCACGTGTGAAACTTAAATTCATTTTGGGACTTTTTTTCCCCTCTGTTCTCTTCCTCTTTCTCTCATTGCTAACCAGCTGTTTTATTTCTTCTCTTATTTTCCTTTTGCCAATCATGAGCTTCTGTGACCACAGAATGACTCGTAAGCATGTATGGTATGTCTTAGTTGAACAAAAACATCTAGATGCAAATTGAGACAGGCTCTTTTAAAGGAAAAAGAAGAGAACAGCTAGATATTTTACTTAAAATTTAGTTCCATAAAGGAAGATAACCTGAACTCCTTCTTTATTTCTAGGTGTTCTTTTGGCATTTTTGGAGGTTTCTTGGAGCTGGGCTGTTTTTTCTGCCTCTCCAAGGACCAAAGATTTAGGCCTGAAAAGTTGCCTTCAGAGAGAGGAATTTAATCCTAGAGTGATATAAAATCATAAATAGGCTGCAAATTCCCCCCATGAAAGAGGGTTTGTAACCACAAAAACTTAAACGGGGTTACTAAAAGATTCTGAGGAGAGAGTCAGTCTTGGGCCTTGTACAGGTGTTATGTTTCTACTGGGAGGATTGCTGCTCTCTGGATAGAAACTAGCAGTGTACAAGCATTCATTTAATTTCTCTAAGAAGAAACATGTTCTCTCTGGAGAGCCTTCAGAGCCTTCAGAGGTCTGAAAATTTGGCGGGGGACCTGTGGCAGCAATTGCTACTCCCCCGCTGCCAAATTTCCAGACCTGTGGATAGCCCCAGGGGTCAGATAGCATACTAGATTGGCACACAGAGGTAGCCTGGGGACCAGTCCAGGTACACAGGCACCTGCTGGAGGTGGTGTGGGGCCGAGTCCAGTGGTTCAAGGCCAAGAGAGATGGCCTGGGCCCTGGATCTGGCAGTTCGGGGCCAAGGGAGATAGTGTGGGGCCCAGATCCCATAGCATGGCGCCAGTCCTGTTTTGTAGGGTCTGATCCAACCTGCAGACTGGCCCCACACTACACCAGTGCCAGGAGCTGGATAAGCAAACTGAAATGACTAACTGTTACTGAAATACATATCCTGAATCCAATACTCATCTGAAGTTTTTTCAAGCTTGTAATGTGCTAATTTATAAGAGCAGTTAGGTAACTGCTGTGGTGAGTAGGTTGGAAAGGTAAGTGTACTGATAACAGGGCTATTTAATACCAGGCATTTGGAGGTAAGAAAAAAAATCCAAATTTCACTATTCGTGCTATTGTTTTCACTTTTGAAATGTTTTTGCTAGTTAGTTCCCAGTCAAGTTCACTTGGACAGTGCAGCAATAGTGCCAAGACTGCAGAAAAATGCTTATTTAACAGCTCTTTTCCACTGAACATTTTTTATAAAGCACCAAAACATTTTTTTTCTGAATTTTACAAGTGATTATTTTACAAATCCTATAGAACTGTGGCTCATACAGTAGCATTAGATGAATTGTATTACAGTAGAATTATGTATATACATGCTCATGTAGTAGCATATATTAGCAGTGAGTATGTACATGAAACCAGAGACATATAGCTTGGGTCAGAAATAAGCATTGCTTTCTCTATTTCCTCTCCTGTCTAATACTGCTATTTTGTGAACTTGTATCCGTTTCATGAAAACAAAGTACCTCTGCATACAGCTGCCATGCATACGAAAAACCAGGGTTCTTCTATATCAGAATGGCTTGCAACATGCTTAGTTTATAATGAGTTGCTAAACAATGGATGAGTTACTCAGCTGTTTTCTGTGGCTTTTATTTCCAAGGGTACTGCTTTCCACTCAGCTAGTCCTTGTCAACAGTCCAGGGCAGCTGATTGGAGAAGTGGTGCCCTTTGAAATAAAAGCCACAGCAAAGAGCTGGAGTACCTCCTCTGTCCTATGCAACTCTCTTGCAGCAATGTGCTTCCTTACCCCCCTCCCCTGGCACACAATTTGCAAATCCTCATGTTTAAAAGGACCCTAACCTTACAAATAATCTGAGTTGAATGCTATTGCTTTACAAATGAAAGTAAAGTCTCCCATGACTAGGATCTTGTATTTATTGCACGTAGCCTTTGGGTGTACGTGAATGGTATGCTTATTATCTTAATACTAAGTTAAGATGTATTGAGTGATTTAAGACCTTGCTCTTACTTTGTAGACAAAACTAGTTTTAATGGTTAATTTTTCTTTTATGTTTATAACTAGCGAGGATGCGGAATTACTGTGGCGTCTGGCACGAGCATCTCGCGATCTAGCCCAGCTTAGTAGAACATCTGCAGAGGAGAAAAAGCAACTGATTTATGAAGCTCTTGAATATGCAAAGAAGGCACTAGAAAAAAATGAGGCAAATTTTGCAGCCCACAAGGTGAGCCATGCAAAGTAATTAAACTTTAGAAATGTTGCCATCCACTGCCCTCTAACCATAGCAACAGAAATCACTGTGATTCTGCTATATGGCCATCCAGCTATCTTCAGCATAAGCAGAGTTTGAAATAAGCTTTCCTAGAGTACCAGTTTTTGCAAGTAAAGTCGAAACCTTGTGCAGAAAATGATTGTTGGGCCTCTGACAGATATTCAGTTAGAGGTGTGAGGGGATCTGATCCATGATCCCAACAATAGTGCCTCCTGCCATGCCACATGCAGGAGGCATGGCAGGAGGCACCATTGTTGGGATCATGGATCAGATCCCCTCACATGCATGGCAGGAGGAGGCACAATTGTAGTATTGGAGATCAGATCTAAATCGTGATTATAGCTGGTGCAGGGGGAGCCCACAATCCCTGCATCAGCAAATAGTATGCCAGTACCCATCGCTCAGAGTAGCGTGAAGTAGAATGCCAGTGCTCCCATTGCTTGGAGTGCCAGTCAGCTGACCAGGGTTGTTGGTTGTAGCCATGTTGGTCTAAGGACATAGGCAGGCAAGGTTCTTTGGATACATGTGGTATTTTTTATTAAACCAACTAAATAGATGGAAAAAAGTTCTTTGTAAGCTTTTGGGCACAAGTGCTTCCAGCCACAGTAGCACTTCGGAGCCTTGAAGGGCTCTTGTGCACTCCTGCAGGTAGGAGAGTCAGTTTGCGATTGGCACTGCCAGCCAAGGGAATGCATTGCAGCCCTTCTCCTTGGTATGCTCCCATGGCTGGGAAGGTCTCCAGTGCATTCCCACAGCAGGGAGCACACCAGAGCCTTGAAGGGCTCCAATGCATTCCTGAGGCTGGGAATGCTGGTCAGCTGATTAGCCTGGCCACACCTTAAATTGAAGATATTATGGGAACCAGCCATAAAGTTGTTACTGGCAACTTTATGTATTCTGTGTAGTTACTTTGTGTTTTATTCCCTCTTTTATTCTGCCATTAATTGCACAAACATGTGGCTGGGTTACTACGTACTACGTAATTAACTGGCTAGATATCTAATGGGTCAGAGTTCTTGGTGACTGAGCTATTCATAGCATCATAGAAAATTAGGGATGGAAGGGACCTCAGGAGGTCACTTAGTCAACCCCCCTGCTCAAAACAGGACCATCCTCAACTATATCATTCACAGCCAAAGCTTTGTCTACCTGGGTCTTAAAAACCTCTACAACGGCGGTTCCCAAACCCCTCTGGGTACCCTGTTCCAGTGCTTGGGTACCCTCCTCATGAGAGAGTTTTTGCTTATATCTAACTTGAATTTCCCTTGCTGTAACTTGAAACCATTGCTCAATCACTTTCCTTGATCTGCTGGTAGTGCTCCTACTAATGCAGCCCAGTATGCTACTAGCCATCTTCACAACAAGGTCGTACTGTTGGCTCATTCAGCTTATTGTCCATTGTAACCCTTCAGGTCCTTTTCTGCTTAGCTATCCCAACCTACCAGTGCGTGGGATTGTTCTTCCCTAACTTCAGGACTTTGCACTTGTCCTTATTGAACTTCATGAGCTTTCTTTTGGTCCAATCCTCCAAGTTGTCTAGAACTCTTTGAATCCTACCCCTGCCCTCCTACTCCCCCCAGCTTGGTGTCATCCACAAACTTGCTTAGTGTGCGCTCCATCCCATCTTCCAGATCATGAATGAAAACACTAAAATGTTATACTTTCAAACTGATGTAACCTGCCCCTTGCTGCCCTCCCCTTTCCCTATCTCAATCCATCCAAAACAAAATGGCCAATGTTATCTATAACCTGTTCTTTCACTACTGTTGGCAGCTCACCTTCCCTCCTAACTATGGTGCCAGGTGCAGTAGGCTGAGATCTGACCTTGCCTGTGAAGACAGCTAAAAAAGGTATTGAGTACTCCAGCCTTTTCTACATCATCTGTCACTATGATACCTCTCGTTGAGTAAGGGACCAACACTTTCCCTGATCTTCCTTGTGTTACTGACATACTTGTAGAAACTTTTTTTGGTACCCTTCACATCCCTTGCTAGCTGCAACTCCAATTTCAATTTGGCCTTCCTGATTTCATCCCTGTGTGCTGGAGTAGTACTCTTTTCTACTCCTCCCTAATTGTTTTTCCAAGTTTCCACTTGGAAGCTTCCTTTTTGTAGAGTTCCCTGCTAAGCCAAGTTGGTCTTCTGCCACACTTGTTAGTCTCCTGCATATCGGGATGGTTTGTTCCTGCAACCTTGGGTTTCTTTAAACTACAGTGGGTTTCTTTAAACCCAGATCTTCTGGTCTCTTTTCTCCCTCAGACTTGGCCTCCCAGGGGATCCTGCCCATCAGTTCCCTGGGTGAGTCAAAGTCTGCTTTTTCTGAAATCCAGGGTCTTTACTCTGTTGCTCTCCTTCTTTCCTTTCCTCAGGATCCTGAAATCGGTCATCTTGTAGTTGCAGCTGTCCAAGTTTCCATCCACTTCTACATTCTCCACCAATTTTTCTCTGTTCATGAGCAACAGATCAAAAAGAGCACAACCCCTAGTTAGCCTTATCAACATTTGCACCAGGAAATTGCCCCCAACACTCCAAAATAAATTCCTGGATATTCCTCTAATTTCCCCCTGGAAAGTGTCCTACAGATGCAATCTACTGCTTCTCTACCACAGGAGAACCTTTCTAGGGAAGAAAGGAGGTCATTTTTGCTTTTCATCTCTTTCTCCTGTTCTCTTCTCAGGAGATTTGAGAAGCTCAGTTTAGTCACTTATGTTGGCAGCCCAAGTTAATGACACCCAAGTTCCCTCACAGGATGGTGAACTGCTTTCTTGTCAGGATTGACCAGCGCCATTCACTCATGCTGTTTAAATTGTTCATTACAGTTAAATGACTTCTTAAGCAAACAATAGAGCTAATTAATCATAATTTAGTCTTTAGTCTTTCAGCAGTATTACACTTTGTAACTGCATATTTTCTTTTAATTAGTTCTATTAAAGTTATTTCAATAATCTGTTTAATTTATGGCTTTTAATTTAATTCAGTGGTATGCTATCTGCATCAGTGATGTTGGGGAATACGAAGGAATTAAAGCAAAGATTGCAAATGCTTTTATTATCAAGGAACATTTCCAGGTATTGTAAATAAGCTTTTGCTAATGCAGCAATATGCATATATTGTATTATATTTTATTTTAGAATGATAATTACCAAACTTTGGGTGTGCTGCC